TCCAGGCTCTCCTTGCCCCAAGGGTTTGTGTTGAAAAGTCTGCTGTGATTCTGATGGGCTTTCCTTTGTATGTGATTTGTTTCTTTTCTCTTACTGCTTGTAGTATTTTGTTCTTCTGTTGGGTTTCTGGGATCTTGATTATTATATGTCTAGGTGTAGATTTTTTTTGATTGTAGCTAGTTGGGGTCCTATATGCCTCAGTTATCTGAATGTCAAATTCTTCCCCTCTGTTTGGGAAGTTTTCTGTCATTAATTCTGCAAACAGCTTTTTTAAGTCATTTGTATTTTCTCCTGCTACTTCATGGATTCCTATCAGTCATATGTTATTCTTCTTTGCATCATCTAGGAGTTGTTGGATCGATTTCTCATGATCTCTTACTGTTTTTAAGAGACCTCTCTTTTCATGGTCACTGACTGCAATCTTATCTTCTATATCTGAGAGTCTATCTTTGCATTCTTTTATTCTGTTGCATACACTTTCAATAGAGTGTTTAATCTCCTGGATATCTGTTTGAATCTGTTTTATGGATTCCATTTCTTTCCTATGTTGGGCGTTTATTTTTTCCATTTCTTTCTTATGTTGGGCCTTCATGGCTTCTATCATGGTCCTGAGCTCATCTATTTTTTTGTCAGTTTCTGCTCTAGAGTCTCGAATCACGACTTCCATTTTGCTCACTATCTCTATGGTTATCTGGGAAATTATTTCTGTTTTGAATTTTTCTAGAGCCTGATTGATCTGTTTTGTTACTTCCTGTGCTTTGAGTTCAGGGTGTCCTGGTAGTTCACTATCAGCCTTTTCATCCCCTGATCTCAGTTAGCTGATGGCTGAACCCCATGACACTGACTGACCTCTGGCTGCAAGGCCCAGATTGAGTTCCCCAAACTTCTGAATGGTTGAACTCCACAAAGTTCTATTACAGGTTTCCCACACCCTTTCTTTAAAGATGTTCAAAGTTGGGAACTCAGAAAAATACCCTTGATGACCACCTCTGCCTCTGTAGAGTGGGTCCAAAGACTGGCCCAGTCAGGAGGTCTGAGAGTGCGGGTGGGCTTATGGGAGTTCAGGGGTGCCCAGGGGGCTACCTTTCCGGCGCTTGAGCTATGGCGGCTGGGTCGGGAGCAGGCATGGCTCTCCTTTATGCAGTGGATTGAGACCCAGGCTACCTCCCGGCGCTTGAGCGATGGTGGCTGGGTCGGGAGCTGGTTTGTTTCTCCTTCCCATGGTGGATCGGGACCCAGGTTACCTCCCAGCACTTGAGTGATGGCAGCTGGGTCAGGAGCTGGCGTGGTTCTCCTTGGTGAAGTTTTTTTCACTTGTTTTGGTTTGGTTTGGTTTTCATGTCTCCTTAAAGATCACTTTTTGGAAAGTAACACTGCTAACCTTGCTTTCTTTAAATCTATGTTTGTCTACTCAACTTGGTTTATTTTCAACCTTGCTGCAAATTATTTTATATATACCTCTTATTAACAGAATAAATTCACTGCTTTTTCAATATAACTCAAAAGCCTTTGAAATGAGCTTAAAGCATTTATTTTCACTGTCTTGGCTTATACACTATCTCATGCCTATTGTGTATTTTGTGTATTTTCATTATAAGATTTTCATGCCACATTTCTTCTTTTATACAGTATTTTTATCTGTTTTGGCCTTTATATTTATCATTTTAGAAATTCTACTTTTTTTAGTTTTAATTGAGTTTATTGGTACATTTTAGGTATACACTACAGTTACATTCATTATTGTGATCTTATACCTTTATGTTACAGGTCTTGGTTAAAAATTCTACTTCTCTATATCTGAGGAGTTATTTGTTTTATTGAGGTGCAATTCACATAACAAAATTACCCCTTTTAAAGTGAACAGTTCAATGACATTTAGAACGTTTCACAGTGTTTTGCCTCTATTCCTTGAAGCTTTATTACAAAGATTATTACTTTATTAATCTTACTAAAGTTTACATTTCCCTGAGTAATATGACAGCTTCCTTGCCCCCCCTTTTTTTATTATTTCTCTACTACAGCTGTGGTTTGCAACCCATTCATAAAAATTACCTGTGGGTAGGATTAAGTCTCTTTAAACTCAAACTTCTTTCAAGAATTATGCTTATTGTTAGCACACAATTTTGAAACTTGAAAATTTGCATTCAATTATTTTACAGAGCATAAGCGATTGAGTTTGTCCCCTTCCCCTTTGTATATTGACTTCCTAACCTCAGTACCTCAGAATGGGTCTGTACTCCGAGACAGGGCCTAAAGAGGTAGCTGATCATGTCCATGTCCATGCGTGCGCGCACACACACACACACACACACACACACACACACCTACCCCAGATATCCCCTTGCCCACCTACCCCCCCATTCTCACACAGGTGAGGTTCAGTGTATTTGGGGGGCACCAGGGATTGAACTCAGGACCATGTGCTTGCAAGGCCAATGCAGTGCCACTGAGCTAAATTCCCAGCCCTCAATGCATATATTTTGCGCATATCATGTGCAAGAACAAATCTACCAAAATAAAACCCATGAATCTGTATACCCAATTTTCCAAGAGTGAGGAACAAGTACCTGAGTTAAAATGAGTCTTTAGGGAGGGTCCTAAACCAGTATGACTGGTGTTCTTTCAGGAAGAGCTAATCTGAACACAGAGACAGCCAGAGGGAAGACCATGTGTGAACACAAAGGGAGAAGACGGCTGTCTAACAGCAAAGGAGAGAGGCCTCAGAAGAAACCAACCCTGCTGACCTCCTGGCCTTCACTTCCAGCCTCCAGAGCCGTGAGAAGATTTACTCTAAGGCACCCAGTCTATGGTTCTTCGTGATGGTATCTCCCACAAGAGCACTTACACGAACTGCACTTCTGCTGCAGAACCTCAAACACACTCTTCCCTCTTCAGTGCCACCAGGGGCATGCACATGCACTTCACCTAGCTAATGCCTGCCCACCAAGGGACCCCTTTTGTGACCACTGCCACCTGTCTGTATTCCTCTTTGTTTGCACCTTGCACTTGAGCTTCTGGCCATTTGTACAATGAGCCTTGTACATCTGTTTCCATGACAATAGTTTACTCTATGTCCCCCGTACCGAGCTAGAGCCTGGCACATTTGGTGCCACTATTCTAAATGGATGAAATGCTTAATAAATTAAATAGACTAATTTTGCTACCTGCTCTGTTTTCCATATAACACATTGCCTTCGTTTTTAGCCCCAGTGGTTTTCGTTTCCTTAGAACAGATTAATTCATTTAAATTGCTTTGTTTTGGCCCTTAGCCCTTATTTTGAAATGTCTGGCTAATACCAATTATTACAGCATTGCCCACAGAAACCCAGCTTGCAAGCAGCAAATGCAGTTCTAGAAGGGCTGAGAATTTGTGTTAATATCACTCTGACCAATAAAGACAAAGCCCACGTATTATGAAAACAAATATCCCTCGTTGGATTCCCCAAGGCCTAAACCTATACGCAGGCACCAGGATTTATTTTAAATAAATTAATACAGCCAGGAAGGATTAGTGGGTATTTTTACACATACACAAGCTGAAATATTTCATAAAAACATACCCCTCATAGCCTCATGCTCAGATCCTGCAGATAATTTAAAAAGCACACCAATGCACGGAGCTGTATTTGCTGCCAGTGATTTGCAGGGGAAGAATAATTACACTGACAATTAGACCTAGAGCCGTGTGCTCCTTGTCAAAGGGGCCAAAGATGCCTGTGGATGCTTCTGCATCACCTTTTAAGAGCTTAATTAATTTGCTTACTGATCAATCTCAAAATCGCCCTGGGACCCCACCTGTTAATAAAATGAGGGATGAAAATCTGAGACCTTCTTACCCAGTTTCATCTGTATATGAGAAGCTCTTGGCATTTCTTGCCCAGCAGCTTCCCAGAGCCACTTGTAGCGTAGTGCTATTCCTATAAATTCAATTACTCTGATTAGGGTCAGGGCCATGCAGTTGGCCAGCATTTTTATACAGACTATTTTTCTGCCCCTGGACTATACTGTCCCTCACTTCAGCCTTCGATGTTCTTAATTCCTTACTAAAGAGAGCTTTGCGATACAGGAATGTGATCCATCTGACACCAGTGGGCCTCATAGCACGCATGTGGGGACCTGTCTTTCTCATCCGGGACGGTCACATCGTGCCTTCCGCCCCGCTCCCAGCTTGGAATCTGCCCTGTCGTCAATCAGAACTTCTCACAGCTCTCAGGAAGGCAGACAAACTCTTCACTTAGGCAAAGGGGCTTTAATCCCACACCCCATAGCTCAGCAGAGCAATGGCAGCCAGCAGGATGGAAATGTAGGATCCAGGCACAGATGTGTGCCTTCCGCCTGGCAATGTCTCCAGACCGTGTAAAAGCACGGGGACAAGGGAGTTACTAGTAAGTATGGAGGAAATGAAATTAGCTCCTTCCACCTCGTTTTCCTCCCTCATTCCCCTGCTTCACTACCATTTAAAGAATCACACTGCAATCATATTAGGCCTGGAATTCAGAGAGGCTGAGGCAGGAGGATCAAAGTCCGAGCCCAGCCTGGATAACTTAGAGACCTAGGGAGACCTTATCTGAAAATTAAGAAGTAAAAGGGCCAGGGATTTAGCTCAGTGTTTCCACCACCTGCTTTGCAAGAGCAAGGTACTGAGTTCAACCCCTGGTACCACAAAAGTAAATAAATAAATAAATAAATAAATAAATAAATAAATAAATAAATAAAAATAAGAAATAAAAAGAGGCCTGCAGATACAGCTCAGAGCAAAGGTCCTGAGTTCAATGCCCAATTCTACAAAAGAGAAAAAAGGAAAGATATTAGATATAGATTCCACCCTCCAAGGAAAGCGGGGAGAACAGCAACACTCCTCAGTTTTACAGCACATGAGATGGGTCTGACCATTCCCTGCGGAAGCAGAGATTTGGAGAAAATTATCCATTGTCCTACAGAAAGAGGAAAATAGACCCTAGTTAAATTTCCGAGCCAGGGCTTTCTACTCCCACCAGCACCTTCTTTCTCACTCCTGCCAGGAACTCCAGCATCTGCAGACCCAGGCAGGCGAAGCCACACATGGACTCCTCAGAATCCTCACCAAGGCACCAGCAGGAACAAAAGACACAAAGCAAGCTGGTGGCTTTTATAATCACTTTTCCTGCTGTAAACAATTTCTTTTTGGCACTACTGTTTCTCTGGAACCCATTGATACTCTTGGATCAGGAAATGCATGAGAAAGTCCCTTTCCCTCTCAAAATTAAGGGTTTCCACTGGGCTCAGCAAATGTGCCAAAAGAACCCCCTCCATCTGCCACCCCCAAGCTCTCCATGGTGAATGGCAGCAGGGGGCAGGAAGAGGGGCTGCCAAGGACTGTTCCCAGCTCAGTCTCCCCAGGCAGGACCCAGCTTCCCATGTCAATTCCAAGCCTCCTACTTTCTGAAGGCCTGGCCTTAATGAATATGTGAGAAAAACAAACATTTGTCCCTGGGTTTGGGAAAGCAAGGAAAGGAAGCTTGGAGAAAGACTCCCCTAGGCAGGCCTGGGAAACCCCAAGGGTCTAATTGAAAGGGTTTAAAATAGTAAATATGAAATCTAAACCCAGATGGTTCTTTTTCAAAGGAAGCAAACCACTCATTAAGCTGATTCTGCCCTATAGGATCACCTTAAAAACATCAACAAGAAGCAAACTTTCCCCCACCCCTTTCTCTCTGCCAAATCCCAGTTTGATCATATAGCTGAGCAGAAAAAGACCAAAGCAAGGGTGGTTGTGATGAGGGGGGCAGATTTCTTCCTGACTGGCTATTTCTGGACAGGCTAGTGGTAGGAATATTCCCTCAGATTCTGTCTGAAAATCCTTCCCTGAAGGGGGACCCAAAGGAAATGGAAAATAGAATCAAAAGGCCTGAAGTGAACCAACAGGACAAGTTGGGAGATCAGCTGATAGAGGACCACAGAACCAGACACGCAGAGCTCCCTCTCTGCCCTCCATGCCCAATTCAAACAGCCTGGCTGGAGGTGTCCAACAAGAAACACAGAGAAACCAAGAAAGGGGGACTGAGCAGGTGCCTGGTACCATGGCGCCCACACAGGACAGGGCTGAACTCACCTTGCTTAGCCATCTTTCCTTAGACTTCTGCCTGGCAGAAGCCACTGGGGAGATGGACAGGGCTTAGACCTGCCATTCCCCAATTTCTAGCCTTCGAGAGGCCTTCCAACCCACAACTCTGTACCTCAGCTCCTGACACACCTGTATTTCACCAAGATTCAGTACTGTTTTAGAAGAAAAAAATGCTACCATTGAGACCATGAAATCCCATCAATTTTTAGAAGCAGGCTGATTTCAGAGATGTTAATGTGAAAAAAAAAAAAAAGAGCATCTTAGAATCAACGAAATACATGAATAGCTGACATTTACTGGGAACACAGCCGGTGCCAGGCAGCATGCCAAACACTTCCCCTGGATTATCTCATTCACTCCCCACAACTATAATTATCCTCATCTTTCAAATGAGGAAAGCAGGTCTTCCAGCGCCGAGTTAAGTTGCCCCCTATCACACAGTGTGACCAGGGTGCATAGTCAGACCTGTCAGAATCTATAGCCCGAACTTTATACTCTCAGGCCCCAAACTGACCTAGGCTGAATCTTGAAAATGTATGTGGTCAGCCGTGCCTTCCCTGAGTTTCTGACTCCGTAAGTCTGGAGTGCTGTTGACAGGAACTCAGTTTATACGAGCACGAGCATCCGGGTCTCCCAGATAGAGCAGTTCAGGGCCTGCGCCTGAAGAACCTACACGTAGTTCCGTGGAGGGGTTCCTGAATGTGAGTCCTGGGGTGTCACTTGAGGGACTGCCCCAGCAGACAAATTTGGGTCCACTGAGGCCAGAGGAGAAAAAAAAACTTATTTTTAATGCTATCAAATCCCAAGGTTTCAGAACAATACCTCATCCCCACAGCAAATGACAGAGCCTTCAGGAGGTGGGAACTGAACCGATCCTTTCCATTAAAACAGTGACTGGCTCACCACTGTATAATCATGGTGCTGCATGGGAGGAAGAACGCTCAATCTCAGCTCTCCTACAGCAGCCCTGCAACTTTGTCTCTAAACCTATGTTCTCTTCAGTATGACTGGTGATTACTAAAGACCCCCTTCTGTGGTGATTGCTGATATACAGCGAGATCTTAAATTTTTAAGCATTTACGATATTACTGAAAAATTATTATGACCTTAATAAATAAGAGGCCTTTTCATTTCCTAAAGCTGAAACATAAACGGTTCAGTGTTCCTATGTGGAAGGAAGATGGGTATGTCAAGGAATCTAATAATAAGAATAGCAAGTGTAAAGAGAGAGAGGATAACCTCTCCATTCGTAATTAAACTTTTCTAGTAAAAGAGCAGTTGTTAGGGGCACTGGCTGTAGTTTGTTAGCATTTACATTCTGGCTAAGCAACCCTGTGCTAGCTTTTAACCCCACGAAAAACCAGGGAAAAGGATGCAATAAGTAGAAAAGATAACTGGGTGTTCTGGCTGGTGTACCCTCTGGGTTAATGCCACCCTGCATTTACTTAGTTATTTTTCCAAGAAAACCTGCAATCATGAGCCAAAATAAACCTTTCTTCCTTGAAATTGGTATGCAGTGGGTATTTTGTCACAGTGATGGAAAGCTGACCAAGGTAATCCAGGACTGCATCATAACCAGCCTTTTGAGTCCTGTTACCCCTTAAGAGTAGTTTAACAGTCCCCACTATACTATAAAGATGAAGGAAATTGAATACCAAAGAAGTACACATATCTAAAATTATGTATCATATGATCACTAAAGCTGGGTTTTCACAAACCTATGCTTTTCACAAGTAGGTAGGTAGTATTATAAAGACCTGAAAAATGAAGGTTCAGAAAAGACAGCTGAAGAAAGAAGTAAAAAGAAACAAATTTCTAGAATACATCTCAGTCCCAGAGAAAATGTCCTTATTTATGGAGGAAAACAAAGAATTGTTCTCAGGCCACTCACAAGGGCCCAACTCCTTCTAACCATCGCTTAGCATGGCCACTGTTAACAAATGAAAGCGCTCATGGAAGTGTGTTCCTGTTTTCTACCCAGCTGTCTTTTATTTCCCCGATGTTTTTCTTTGCCCGAGAAGCAGCAGCCACCCTTTCTCTGCAGCTCTGTCTTCCCACACTGAACTGGATCTGTGTTACCAGACAGCCATCAGGGCAGGAAGAGGGGAGATACTCCCAAGACTCTTCAACCTTCAGTCATCCTTGACCCCTGAGAGTTCATGGCTACAAGAATCCTTGCAAGAGATTCAGCGAGTTTTCTGGGTTCTTTTCATTCCATAGCCTTTGGGGAACATTTCCCAGCAAGGAAAAGATGGCCGGGAGATTGTGCAACCTACCCACACTGGTCTATGCCAGTAATTGCCAGCACCTGGGCAGAGCAGTGTGCCAACAGTAGCTGAAGCCATCTGACCTGCAGTACCTTCATCCCAGCTGAACAATAGCATAAATAAAGCCTGCCTTTTTTCTACCTTCTCCCTCTCCCCTATTACCAAATATGAGAGATCAATCTTTAGACTGTCAGACAAGAATCTCCAAGAATCAAACTCACTCATTCAAACCTTGCCTCCAACTTTCCAAAAAGGCAGCACACATCCTAAATGCCTAGACGCAGTCTCTTCCCTTTTCTTCCTCAGCCACTCCCACTGGAGCACAGATTGGAAATGCCAACTTGCCCAGCAGCATGCTACACAGGGACAGCAGCTTATACTTGGAGGACAGTCAGGACTTCAGCCTTTATCATATGTTATATCTAAAGCCAAAGCCTTACAATGTAAGAAAAAGAACTCAGTTTTGAGTGTGGAAACAGAATCACATAAATTTTCAATAATAAGTCTGGAACAAATTCGAGGAAGAGGAAGCTGCGGGGACTTCCAGAAACCTATCAATATTAGAGTCAGGCATATTTTATAGCAGGATATATTTTATATATGGATATATGTTCTGGGAAATTGCCTTTTCAATGAGTCCCTTTATACATTCTTCTCTGGGTGGGGTTGGCGCTCTTGTACAAAACAAACCAGCACAAAGGCCAGCTGCAGGCTGGGAGAACTTGGTAAGGCGGAAAAGTCAGCTCTACCCTCTGGAAAGTCGAGCAGATGGGTGTCTCTGCACCAGCTTGAAGCAGAGAAGTGATGACAATTATATTAATTTTATTACAAGGACCAAGTTTAAATAATATGTGACCAGAGCGAAAGTTGCAACACTTCACAGCATTTTGCAATTTACTGGGGATTAGATGTTGTGTTTCTCAGGTGCCAAAACAATCACTCTGTGGTTCTGCGTTATACAATGAACATTTCAATTACCAGGAAAATCGTGACTGTACGACATGAACAAAAGATAGGGGCTGGGGTGCAGCTCAGTGATAGAATGCTGGCCCCACATGCGTGAGAACCTGGATTCAGTCCCCAGCACAGCAAAAAGAAGTGGAAAGGAAAGCAAACAAAACATACACAGGGTTAAGGCAAAAGTTAGTTTACCCACTTGCATAATAATAACGGTTAGCTTTTTTTAAATTATAACGGCAATGTCAAAAAGTCAGAAACCACTGAAAATTATAAAGAAGAAAGTACTCCTAATTCTACCACCTAGACATAAACACCTGACTACCTATACTTCCTTTTTTTTTTCTATTCAAATATACCATTTCAGGTTTGTTTAAAAAGGACTACTCATAGTTATTTTATAGCCTGCTGTTTCCCTAGTGTTTTGTGAACATCTTTCCACAGTGGCAAATATAAATCCACATTATCATTTTCAATGACTCCCCCTATTCCATTAGGAGGCGGCCCACCAGCATTTCTTAAATCCTCTACTGAGAGAAAATTAGGGTGAAACCAATCAGGCTGTACTGTGAACATTCCTGGGGCAAACACCCCTGAGAATAACTCTTCGCTCTCTTGCCTAATGCTTTTCTTACGAAAATTAATTCCTAGAAGTGGAATTGGTGTGCATTTGTGCTTTCTCTAAAGGTGTTGATCCCTATTACTGAAAAGCCCCAAGGAAAAGCTGGGCCAATTTACCCCCCGCCCCCAG